ACGCGTCCCACATGGGCGGCGCATGGGAGAGGATGATCGGTATAGCACGCCGTATTCTTGATTCCATGCTTATGCAATCACGCCATCAACGACTTACTCACGACATTCTTGCCACCTTCCTGGCAGAAGTCACAGCCATCATGAATGCCAGACCTATAACTACGATTTCCTCGGACCCCGAAGATCCCACCATCCTCACTCCGGCGACGCTACTGACACACAAGAAAGAATGCTCATCCCCAACAACTGGAGAAATAGATACAACTAATCTGTACAAGCGACACTGGCATCAAGTCCAGAACATGGCTAACCAATTCTGGAAACGCTGGCGTTCAACGTATCTCGCTACTCTGCAGGAACGTCAAAAATGGCAAGTGAGGAAAAAGGATATAAAAGAAGGCGACGTCGTGCTCATCAGGGACAAAGAAGCAAATCGCAACGATTGGCCCATCGGCGTTATCACCCAAAGCCTGCCCAGTGCGGACGGAATGGTGCGCAGGGTGGAGGTGAAGATTGCAAGAAATGGCGCAATAAGGAAACTCTGCCGACCGATATCGGAAGTGGTGCCCTTGTTTTCGCCATCAACAAACTGTGGCGTCTAACAAGCAGACACCAGACGGGGAGTGTGCCGTCCCCTCTCGAAGAGAGCGGCCAGGAGCCGTGTTTGCCTTTCAAGTGTCGCCAAAGGAAGTCGGGGGGACGCTTAAGCCCCTAATAGGGGCTACTTCTACGTTTTGAAAATCCTTTTTCCTTTGTTATGGCCACTTTAAACGGGCGCCGCAAACAACCTTCAGAGCGTCATTTGTCATCTTCTCTGTCGGCTCACGGAGAGAGTGAAAACACCGGTCGTCGACGGAAGAAGAAATGCCAAGCAGCCGGCAGACTCACCCTACCAGCCCGAGCAACAGCACCGCTTTTTTACGGGGGACTTACTGAGTGCTTGTGAATGTTTGTTAAAATGTGACCCAAATTCCTGTTAATTAAAGTTACATTTGTTTAAATGTTCACAAGTGTTCGACCGTTAACTGGCTGGATAGCGGACGCTTTTACCCGTCAAATGCGAGTTGCGAGACCAGCATACCTTGATATATTAATGAATGCAGCAGTGAAGAAAAAGAAATACCTTGAATCATTTCTGAGGTCTCCTGCTAATCTCAATATATATCATGCTTATCAGCCAGTAGTTTAAGTTCACATGCAGAGCAAGCCGAATGTCTACCTAATACCAAAGGTAATGCCTAAGCAAGCCTAATACCAACGTAAGTATTAATATGAGCTCATGCTTGCTTTCTGGTTTGGATGTGCACGTACAACAACTGAGTGATGCCATCGTTGCTTACCGGGGCATGAAAACCGAAATAGAAAAAATCCCTTCAAGGGCATAAACTTTCCTACCTACAATGCAAACAATCTTGAACATTATACCTACTGTACATCTTTTCTTGTTTTATTTTATGCGACTTATTCATCAAAAGTTAGTGTTCGCAGACTGCATGCAAAAGTGTAATAAAGAAGTGTGTGCTATAGGTTTGTAGCCTTAGCTGTGCTGCCGCAGAAGGTTGTCGCCAGGTATAGTGTTAAATCTTGCATTGTGCTTTCATCTCTCTGCCCCACCCCCCTCCACTCACACTCCCTCTGGCATTCTAAGCCAGTACTCTAATGCATCTCTGTTTCGGCAGGTTCACTGATAATTCCCCTGCACTCTATGATGCCAACTGTCAACCAGAGACAAGTGTTTGATAGGCCTCCTGCTGGAGTGCGTAAAATTGTCCTGGCTACTAACATAGCCGAAACAAGGTTTGCAGTTTTTTCTTCTTACCAGAGCTAGTTCTTATTTGTGGTGTTTGAGAAATAATTATTTTTTGCTTTAGTAGTACTATAGTGTTAGTGTGTGCACATGCTCAAACTTGTTGTCTGCACCAACCTGTGGATTTATCAAGGAACTCAACAGTAATGGTTTTACACCATGAGAGTGCTTCAGTTTGGTATTCAATAGTAATACATGTGGCTGTTGTCTGGTACAAGTTGGACTTGCAAAAAGAAATTCACACCAACTTGCCAAGTTCACCATTTTGCATAAGTAAGACATTGTATTACACATATTAATGTGCTCGTCGTGCAGCTACCACTACGTATTTACACGATTCTAGGTCGAGCCATTTTGCCTTACCCGAAGTTGGGGGTCGAGCTAGAATCTGCTAGAATCGAAAACTAGTTTCAGGTTGTAAAGTCTTTCTAAAAATAATCCTCGTGCACTCCCGCAAATCTAGCTTTTCTGCAGAGCTTTTAAGCACTGCCGTGAAGCCACCTTGTGTTTTTTTTTTTTGAAGACATTTGAAATAATTTTTTGTTATGGAAAGAGCCTGTGTTCTTTTTTTTTTGTCATGCGATTTTACGGTGGTTGACCTACATTCGAGTCGGACTTACTATCGTGTAAATACAGTAGGCACTGAATGTTTCAAACACTTTGGGGCTTGGCAGTATCATTCTAGTATTTGGTTCTGATGACTTTCATTTAGTACAAAAAGTAGTAATAGTATCAAATAAAAGTCGCAATTACTGTGTTGAATGAAGGAATGACGGAAGAGAATAAAAATACCTGATTATGTGGACAAGAGGACAACGGCCTCCATAGATTTATTAGTAATAGCATCTGGTGTGTCATCCGGAGGTTGCAGGTTTCATCCCAGCTAGTGACAAGTCATTCTTTTCACTTTCGTCACATCTACATTACAATTACTACAATACACTTAGAAAGAACAGCACAAATAACACCCCTCCATACTTTCCCCGGCTTCATTATTTGTGGTTTTCATTAATCGCTGTGTTTCTACTCTTCTATCTTCACTTTTGCTCCTGACCGAGGAGAGAATGTTATTGTAAATTCTATCACAATGAGCATGTGGGTAAGGGTAATTAATTAGCCATGTCGTGGGCTCTTCTCTTCCAGCATCACCATCAATGATGTCGTGTACGTGATTGACTGTGGAAAAATCAAGATGAGCAACTTTGATGTGGACAAAAACCTTGCCACCCTGAATGCTGAGTGGGTGTCAAGGGCAAACGCTCAGCAGCGCAAAGGACGAGCTGGGAGGTATGGCGCGTAGCTGTTGGTAGTGCCTGTTGAGGTGTCCGTCCCATAGCCCTGCCACCTTTTTTTTTTTGGTCTTTTGTAAACATAGAGTTTTTCTTTGGCAAATACATAAGGGACCATGCAAGTTTTTCTTTGTTACAACCTTTTTTCTAACGTACACGTCTAACATAATCTCATGCAACTTTTTGTGGAACTTCAGTATAGAGCTGCATTTGGGTTTGTCTGTAACACTATATCTCAGACAAACTAGAGCCGACGTTTTTGGTCTTTTGTAAACATAGAGTTTCTCTTTGGCAAATACATAAGGGACCTTGCAAGTTTTTCTTTGGTACAACCTTTTTTCTAACGTACATTTCTAACATAATCTCATGCAATTTTTTGTGGAACTTCAGTATAGAGATGCATTTGGGTTTGTCTGTAACACGATATCTCAGACAAACTAGAGCCGACGTTTGATCCTCTTCGTGCACCAGAGTGCAGCCAGGCGTGTGCTACCGGCTGTACACTTCCTGGCGAGAGTCTCAATTGGAGGCCTACCAGCTGCCTGAGATGCTCCGGACCAGACTGGAGACACTCATTCTCAAGATAAAGGTGAGGACTTAAAGACTGCATTGGAAACTGAAAGGTGAGAATCGCCGACTACGGCAATTAACTTCCTCAAAGCGAGTCACCAAGGACTCGTGCTGTCGTGAGTACATTGCGACATGCTCCATTGCTGTGATCAGCAAGGCTGCCGTAACCAAGGAAGGAGCGAATAACCAGAAGCATCACTCGTTTCAGTTCCTTTTCAATACCTCTACAAGTGTTTTTAAACAGTTGTACTAGCTGAATGCGATTCTCTTCCGTGCGAGAAGCAAGAGGTACAGTCTCTGCAAGTTTTAAAATATACTCTAACCTCATAATGGCAATGTTGCATCTTATGCAAAAATAAGGTTGTTATAACCGAAAATTTGTTATAAAGGTATATTTCTAACACTATATCCATTACCAGGCTATGTTTCTATTTACTTTGTTATAACAAATATTTCATTATATTCAAGTTTGAGCGTATGCATCAGTAGATTCAAGAACCCTGCCACCATGCACCATCCTCAACGGGCATAAAAGCTTGCAGTTATTCTGAAAAATCTCACACTGTGCTACTTTCAAGTGTCGTGAAATTCAAGTACGTTTAGTCATGTTTCATGCTACCTGTTACAACATTGAGGAAATGACAACATAACCTATATTTGCATAGAAAGAGGTATGTCAAACTAGCAGTATTTCTGTCAAGCCATTACAAATGAAAATAAGTGAGGTAGGGAATCGGCTTCCTCTAGTGTTTCTGCAATGATTTTCATCAGTTGTTAGAATACCGGATGCACTGTGGAAATGTGATTTTGCATCTGAAGTTTGCAATCTGTATATTACCACACTAACTAATTTGCTCATTGTGGTTGAAACCGGTCTATTGCAATGCATTGAAAAGAGGATCATGGCCTCAAAGTTACTTAAATTGTTTACTTACTGGCACTGTCAAGTAAGAATTTTTATTTTTGTGGCTTCTTAAGTCATTACAAAATCGGCGCTTTCTCGCACTCAAGTTGTGCTGCCTTCTGCCTAAAACTTTCTGTTCATGTATTGCATGAAGGCATTCGTAACTTTTCTTAACATGGCTGTTTCATGCATGTAAGTGAAAAAGAAACTTGTGAACTTCAGTTATTTTTGTACTCTCTTGCATTATGATCCTTTCAAAGTAAACTTTAGAAATGTTCTCGGCTAGGTGATATCGAAATGTAAAAATTATACTGCAGCATAGGAGGGCTGATTTAAGCAGCGTATGCATGGCTTTAATGGTTACCAGAGCTTGAAACATGTTTGTGATGTCACATAGGGTGACAACGAATGACAGACATATAAAAAATGATTCAAGCAACAGTCAAATACATTTATTTAGGTGGACACTTATTCAGAATCACAGTGCTGAGTAGTTAATGCTTCATTAAATAATGGCCTAGGCAAGCGTGGAAAACATTCTGACAGAGAACACAAACTTTCAATGTTACAGTAGATCACTAACAAATAAAACAACACTCAAATTGTGGACCTTAACTGTAGTGATTTGGGAAATGATTAGAGAAAGCTTCACATCTGACTAGAAGCACTGGCCTTTGCAGAAATTAATGCTTGGCTGCGTACTACCAGTGCACGATTTTAATGGATAAGTAGCTCATTGCATTTCTCTGTGTTCTAGGCCTTTGAAAGTAGTAGTGAAAAAAGGGTTGATTTTGAAATTAACTAGAAATAGAGGCATGGCAACAGATTCATAAACTAGCTACATTGGGCATTTAGTATAATTCCACGGAAAAGGCGAAGTCAATTTCAGTTTTCCAAAACATGATCAGCTCACTTGTAGTGCTAGCCAAATTCAAGACATTGCAACATTTACGACTGCAAAGTTTTGTGAGAGCTAGCTGCAAATCGAACAGCTGCCCAGGTGAACAGAAGAAATTAAGTACATTTCGTGCATGGGCCGAAAAGGTATGTTTGGCTTTCCACGGTTGACAAGTGCATTGCAAGGGGAATATTTCGAGCCTCTGCAACTTGCAACCAGTGCACATCCCTGTGCCAAGCTTTCTCCCATTCTTTTTCTCCAGCATTCAAAAATCTCTCATTCAACAAACACAGTCGGTCTTTCTCAAGCAGTCTCTATGGGTGTGCCACTGGCACACTCACTGGTTGACTGGGTGTTGTCCGACTCGTCGGGGCATCCGTTGGACGATTCCTCGGTAGTCTGCTCCTCCGTCGTCGACTCTTTCTCTTGGGCTTCTTTCTGGGCAAGAGCCTTCTTGTATTCCTCGGCCAGACGAGCACAGTGACGCTTGTGCGTGAACCAGTGCAACTTCTGGCAGGGCACTCCGCAGTACTGCACGGACTTGCAGGCGGAGCAGCGCTTGTCGGCCTGCGGTTCCCCGCAGGCCGTGCACGAGGCTCCTTGGTCGAAACCCTTCTGGCCACGCACGGCCTCGGCCAAAATGGAGATGGCACTTGGCTCGTTGCCAACCTGGGCAGCAGAGCAAGAATTTATTGTTAGCACTGGTCATTTTCGTTGTGATGGAGCTAAATCTGAACGGGAGTGTATGAATGCTCTTTTTCTGTAGGAACCTTCCGCTACACTTCACCTGTGCTGCTGCTGTGAGGCTGTCAACACACTACTGAATTGTACTACGAAAATGCAGTAAAAGAGAAAGTCAAAGAAGCAGCCCCCCCCCCCCCCTGATTGTGACAACTGAAGCTGCGCGTGGCAATATACTTAAAGAGCACCTGTTCTTGGCCTAATTAGTGTTGGCAAACTGTTGTGTTGATGTATTTTTTTGTCTGTTTTCACTAGCAGCAAGATCTCGTACAAAAAAACCTGCCCACACACTGCCTAAGGGACAGCCAGGTAGTTTGACCTAAGAGAAAAAGCAGCAGGCATAACTTATTTGAGGCAACAATGATTAACAGGAGTGCATTGTTGGCTTGCATAATCGTGGCACTCACAGAAGAGAACACAACGCTACTGTGTCATAGTATATCAGTAACAGATTTCAAGCGGCACTCTGAAATTGTCGTTTGGAAAAACTGTAGTAGTGAAGGAAACCAGCACAGAGGGTTTCACAACATCCGACTAGAGGCACCGGCCTTTGCAGAAATCGGCGCTTGGCTGCAGTGAAACTGACCGGCCGCGCCAACTACGCTTAATCCAACGCGGCCAGCAACAATTCGGCCGCGTGGCCGCTTTGAACTAAAACGAGAACACTTTTTTTTCACCTCGACACCGGAGAGCGTGTGCACCAGCTGTTGGAGGATGGAGCATTCGTGGTAGGGGAACTCGCGCACGGACTGGCGCAGCAGCTTTTCCAGGACCACGGGGAAGTCGTCCTCGTCTCGACCGCGCAACCACGTCTTGATGAGCGGCTCGAGCAGGACCCGACGGCGCCTTTTTGCCGGACCTTGTCGTCGCCTTCGGCGCTTGCTGCCGCCAGCGGCGCGGTCGCGCACAAACTTGGAGCACGTCCTGATGAGGAAGGCCAAGTGGTGGAACTTGAGCGCGAGCATCTCGTTCGGGCTCCGCGGTGGTGGTCTTCATCTGCCTCTCGCAGAGCAGGCTCAGCACGCGCTCCACCTTGGACGACTGATCCAGAAGCTCGCGTTTTTCTTGCAAGTAAAGAGCGACTCGAACGGGGTGGATGTTTGTGCGTACGATAAGCTGGTACAGGGGTGCCACCAGCGACGCCGGCAGCTTGGGCTCCTTTCGAGTCCCTGGCGCCGCGCGTAGTATTCCAGTTCCTCGCGGGGCAAGAAGTTGTTGATGATGGCCACTACGTCGTGGTTGCTCACGAAGGCGGCCATCTGCGCCGCCGTCCGGCCCAGCGAGTTGACGACGGTCGTGGAGGCGCCGTGCTCGAGCAGAAGGCTCACCACGTCTGCTCGACCGGCCAGGCCCGCGAACATGAGCGCCGTGTAGCCGGAGTCGTGGTAGTGCGAGTTTACGTCGGCTCCGCACTCGAGGAACAGCTTGCACAGGTCGTGGTTGCCGCGGTACGCGGCGTGCTGCAGCGGCGTCATCCCGTGCTCGTCGAGGCAGTCGATACGCACGCGGTTCACCAGCGTTCGCGCCTCGGCGACATCGCCGGCCTGGATCGCTTTGTAGAGGTCTTTCTCGGCATCGGTGAGCTCGCCTTTCGTCGGAGGAGCCATTTTGGAATGCCGTTTGGTTGCGCTCCCTTGGGGGCGCTAGCGAGAGCCGCCAATCATCGTCATCATCGTGGCGTTTTTTTTCTCTCTTCAACCCTAATCTTGGATCAAACTATAGTTGTACCTCCGTTTTTCTTTCCAGTTTTGTGGTATTTGTGTGTGCCATTGTATGAAACATGATGATTCTTTACAGCAAATGCTACGGACGTGAAAAAATCTTGGTAACGATCACGGAGGCCGTGCTTAAACTCGTGGCCCCTGGCATGCTGGCTTTGCCGCACAACTTTCACAGTCCGTTCATTGTACTTTCTGTCTTTTGTTTTTATCCCGCCAAATGAAGTGCAACGCGATGTTAGAGTCCCTATTGTTGCATTTAATGGCTAATTAACTTATTTATTTATTTATTTATTTATTTAATTATTTCAGATTCTGAAGCTCGGAAGTGCCGAAGCTTTCCTACAAAAGGCAATAAATCCTCCTTCCTCGGAAGCATTGCATCTCTCTCTTCAGTTTTTGATTACACTGGCAAGTATACATTTTTAATTAACTTTCTTAGTTTTTTTACATATGCCTTTTTACTTTAAGTACTATCTCTCTAAAAACATTCAGCATTTCCACTATATCAGAGTGTGCATTTATTGGTACGCGTGAGTGATACAAAGACGAAGTGTGTTGCTGATATTTATTTTTCCTTCGACTCGGGGACTGCTTCCCCTTCCCTCTTTCTCTCTGCACCTTTGTTGGCTTCCTATGCTCCCTATCTTGGGAATTATGAACCTTGAATAGTTAGGTTGGGCCAAGTGGCGTAATACGATTCTTTATATGGGGAAGTGAATTCAAAAATGCAAATGGAATTATAGTACATGGTAAAATGTGTATTACTTAAGTGTGCTTTGCATTGTGAGTATTGTGTGTGCCATCTTTGTAAAGCAGGGAGCGAGTTTAGAAAGCAAAAACATCGGTGTAAGCCTCTCACTGTGTACTTTGTACCTGTCCCTTGATAGTATGTGCAATATATGAGACAGATTTTAGTGTAAACAGCTTTGTTTCTTGTACAGTGCACATTTATGTGCTGAAATTGAAGGTTTGTGAAAGACAGTCCCCTTACAATCCAGTGTGTGTGCACCAGATAGTGTTCGTGTAAAGATGGCATGTTTTCATATGATTGTATGTTTATATGGTTTTACAAAGACAATAAATTGTGCTTTCAAGTTATCAAACATCAGAGGTGAACATTGAATGAAACCATTGCTTCGTCACATCATGTATTTTTTTTATTCTGGTATGCCTGTGTACTATTGTGGGGGACAACATTTCATGAACAACAGTTGCTACGACGAATACAAAAAACTCAACACAGGTGTTGTGCAAAGCACTATGTGTGAGAGCATTAGCAGTGAAATGTGTTTCTGCCTGTACAACTCTAGGTTTGGCGGTGTTTACATGATCCATAATTCATGAACTCCCAGTTGTTCACGTTACAGGGAGCAAGAGAGCTTATATGCTTTTTCGCGGTTACAGTAGTCATTTTTTAAAGTTCTCTCCACATTTAATGAACGTCAATAACTTGCACTCATGTCGATGCTTGCGCAGAAAGCCTTGAATGAGGATGAAACACTGACTCCTCTGGGCTACCACTTGGCCAAGCTGCCCTTGGATCCTCAGACGGGCAAGATGATCATCATGGCATCCATCTTCTCTTGCCTCGACCCCATCCTCACAGTGGCCGCTAGCTTGAGCTTCAAGGATGCCTTCATGGTGCCACTGGTCAGTTAAAGGCTCTCCTTGTTCTACAAGTGCACTTCAGCTGAGCAGGATGGTGAAGGACGCAGTATTTTGGCCTTCTGAATTAAGCTTACACATGTAAGGCTGAAGTTCAGGGTTGGGCACACATTTTATTAAATTACACAACGGTTCTAAAGCTCACCTTAGCTGGCCTTCTGCTGTCACAAAATTCAGCCCTGCAAGGGCTAGAGCATTGAGGAAAATTGAACTGGGACAGAAAGGGAAGGGGGAAGAGAAAAAGTTTGGACAGAATTCCAGCTGATGTTGCCATGTGGAAGCTGGTCTTTCCCATATTTCGTAAGTCAGTCATTTTTGGAGGGGATTTGGCATCATAATTCGAAGAACTCATCCGACTCTACAATGAAAAAAATCTGGGCACTGATTCTGAAATACATGCTTCTTGTTTCACAGTTACATTTCAACACACGGTGAAGTTATGGAGTGCCTCACCCAGGAATTACGCTTGAGACCAGTCACATTTGTTTAGCATCATTAAGATGCTCATTAAAAAAATGAAGAAAAATAGTACGGGGCAACGACAATCATGTGTGGCCCGGGCCATTAGTGAAAATTGGATAGACTATGTGTTTCAGACTTCTCGTTTACACTCAGTGCCATTGTACAGCACACAGCATTCATAGGCAAAATGTGCTGTTTCGCTTTTCAAGATTTGAGGGGGGCATGACTCCTCCAGCTGACACCTTGCAGAATTGTTACTGCCCATTCGCTAGCAAGCATGTTTTCCAAAGAACAGCTTTGACGAGCAGCAAAAACTTTCCTCCATGCTATACTCATTCCTGCTTTTCCTTTCTGTCATTTCTTCCTTTCTCTCTACAAGATAGTGCTTACATTGAAGAATCCTGGCAGTAATTATTTAAAACACTTTGTGCTGCTGACCCCTCCTTTGTAGGAATGCAGAGAAGCAAGTGCACCTAGTGGGAGAAAAAGCTGTAGACAAGAGCTTTCGCATTGAAAATCTTCCTGCAAAAGAGCCAAATTACAGATTTTTGCAAAGTGCTTGTCGGTTGCTTAGATACGTAAAGATAGGGCATGCTTTTTCGGGCTCCATTGTTGAGTGACATCTTGAATTCCTGCAAACGAAGTCAATAATGCAGTAGGCATGTGTTAAATGGACTATAACTATTGACATGCACGGATCTAGTGGGAATGTCGGGATGAACTAGCCCAACCTCCCACCTGAAAGAAGCACCAGTGGCAGATCTAATTAGTATTCTTAAGAGAACGCTCGATGAGCAAAGCGCTTCAACATGTTATTGTCTTTAAAAACGCTCCCTTCGACCACTCATGTCAATATGCTTGTTTTATGTGCAGAGCGCTTTAGGAGCCTGAGAAGTCATGCTTTTTTTATGTGCAGAGCGCTTTAGGAGCCTGAGAAGTCGTCTCATGTGGCTGCCTAACTTCAAGATCAAAGTACTAAAATAAGTCAAAAGAAGGCACTACAGGTTAAGATGTCAGATTTGGCTATCCCTGCCAACCTGCGAGGCAAAAATTTCACCTGTTTCTTTTTGGTCATTTAATTTCGTTTTATTGGTTTTAAATCATTACTGATGTTGGTTGTATCAAGTACTTACCCTTTGCTACTTTAATGTGTGCAGACACGTGCTGTGTACATTTTGATGTTTTAAAATATTTTGCTTAACCTGACACAGAGCGGCATCATTTCTTTCTCTGTATGCATCTCGAAATCCTTTGTGTAGGGGGCTAAACAAAATTAAAGAACCATGCTTCAACGTTAATGGGTCTTGTTTTAAAGAAATGTGTATCAGTAGAAAACTGATTAGAACACAAATCAGTTCACTATAATTATTATTCTCATTGCTCGCAAGCGTCCATGCTTGACCATCACTCGCCATCTTGAAACGAGACCCAGTTCCTTAGGCGAAAATCTGCAGTCCTGCCAAACTACGAGCATGTGTGACAAGCTCTGAGCAGCTTGTACATTCATTGACAAAGGATGGACAATACAGTACAAGTGGACTAACTTGGGTTCATTCATTTTTGTCGTATTGTTGTTGCCATTGTGTTGGTTTCAGCTTTCAAGCTTTAAAGGGGTACCGACACAAAAATTTTGGCCTCTCGTTTTTTTTTTGCCTCAATGTGTTCCTGGGGGCCTGTTAGTCATAACAGGACTCATTATTTTCTGCAGTGCACAACACATGATTAATTACAAGCTTTTACAGTTTTGGTTTCAAAAACTACAAACCACCGGGTGCAACTATCACCACCCAGCGGGTGCTACGTGCGACCATGTCAGCACACAGAACTGTGATGCACTTCTGCGCGGTTCACATCAAGAATTTTTTCCGAGCAGGAAACGGGACAGCAATGTCACCAAACACAAAACTTTCAACTATTGCATTGCAACCACAGGACTCACGACCAGCTGCCGAGTAATAGTCTGCTGGAGCAAAAAGGACCTAAGAAAAATGGTGGCTATGACGTCGGCATAACTTGCTGGTCACGTTAGGGAAGTAGAGGGTCCCCAAGGGTCCCTTTTGAGTGTTTCAATAGGGCAATGAAATCAGTAGCTCACGCCAACTTCAAGTTTATTTCAAAATACCTTGCAAGCTCTATTTTTTGTTCATATTTCCCAGATGACATACGCATGTTCAGGGGAACATTCCTGCAGGTTATCTCTTCCTCGAAAAGTTGTGTCTGTACCCCTTTAATCAGTGGCACCGGCGCTTCCATCACAATGTATCTGTATTGAACTTTTTTGTCTCCTCAACAGGGAAAGGAGAAGCTTGTGGAATAAAGTAAAGAAGCAGTTTGCTGGAGACAGCAAGAGTGACCACATAATGCTCGTCAATGTTTTTTCTGTGAGTACTTTGCTTGCGATACCTCCATTATGTCTGTAGTACTCGTTATTGCATACAGAAAAGAACATGCGCATAGCACAGCAAAATAGTGCCTCTGCGAATGTCCAAACTTGTAACATTATTTTCTATTTGCCTTTTTTTTATTGCAGCAATGGGAAGAGGCGGTACGGCATCGCAATGGCAATCAGTTCTGCTATGAAAACTTCCTTTCGTGGAACACGCTCAAGGTTAATATCATGGGTCTTTATTCCTTTTGAATATTGTTGTATACATATGCACATATATACTGCAAAAGTGTGTACACTTGTGTGCATAATGATGTAAGAGTTCATATGAGACTGAACTTCAAGTGTCAAGTTTAGTTGTTATATATTTTTTTGTTCA